CAGGGTCAGGAGCTCCTTCACTGCAGTGCTGACCTTCAGAGGTCGCCTGAGTGCAGTTAACTCTAAGTGCTGCCCTTCTCCTCTGGAGAACAGTGAGCTTTCTAAAATATGAACCTTCTACATCTTTTTATATGAATGTCTGAAGACCACACCTCTTTAAGGGTATTTAGGTTTATGCAATATTTAGTACATGCTGTATTATCGATGATTAAATCAGCATCACACTATCATTGTAATGATATGATTCAATATGATCTAGGAGTTCAGACCCTAATGTCAATCAATTTTTTGAATATCTACTTATTTTCCTCATTATGATATTAATTCTGGTTACTGCCAACAATTTTTTCAACCCTTTATCGGATGAGACGGTGTAGGAATCATATCCTTCTTACAAATTCGCTGATGATAAGGTCGAGCAGATGCTAAAACAGCAGCCCTGCAAGCAATTCTGCACACCTGCATTGGCAATATTGGCTTTATTTTAGCTACAGCACGATTCTTCTTATTCTCCAACACAGGAGACTTTCAACAAGCATTTATTCTAAATCTCGCCCCCGACTCCCTTTCATTAATTAGCCTTCTCTTAGTAGCAGCAGGAAAATCAGCTCAATTCTTTCTCCATGTCTGACTTCCATGTGCCACAGAAGGCCCAACACCAGTCTCAGCTCTGCTCCACTCCAGCACTGTAGTTGCAGCAGGGGTTTTCTTGCTTATCGGCTTCTACCCTTTCACGGAAAATAACCCATTAATCCAAACGTTTACATCATGCCTAGGGGCTATTACCACCTTATTTACAGCAATCTGTGCTCTAACAGAAAATGATATTAAAAAATTGTTGCATTTTCCACCTCAAGGCAACTGGGCCTTATAATAGTCACAATTGGCATTAATCAGCCACACCTAGCATCCCTTCACATCTGCACCCATGCCTTTTTAAAGCTATATTAATTATATGGTTCAGGATCCATCATCCATAATCTCAATGATGAACAAGACATTCAAAAAATAGGAGGATTACTCAAAACTTTACCCTTCACCTCCTCTTCTCTTATTTTGGTTAGCCTAGCACTTACAAGTATGCCTTTCCTCACAGGCTTTGACTCCAGAGACCTTCTTATGAAAACGAGAAATACATCATATGCCAGCACCTGACTTGGCATATGAGAAACCTTCTAAGACTATGAGAAACCTTCTCATAGTCTTATAGCCACCTCCTTGACAGCTGTCTACAGTAACCAGAGAATTTTATTAGCTCTGATATGACAACCTCACTTATCAACTCTGATTATCATTAATGAAAATAACCTCTTTCTGATTGACTCAATCAGGTACCTAACAATTGGCAGTATCTTTGCTGGATTTCTTATCACCAAGGGTATTCTTCCAGCTTCACCTCCCCCAACAATTATACCACTTCACCTAAGGATTGCAAACCTTGCTGTGGCTCCTTGTCTTTGTTTTGAGAGCCATGGTGGTTCTCGGCTATACTTAAACTATGTGAGACAGACACCTCCTCCAGTTTATAGTGGAGCCAAAAAAAAAAAAACCCAAGAGATTTAATGAGGCTGTGTGAGGACACTGGGCATAGAAAGTATAAAGGACTAAAGCCATGTGTTCTGGCCTTGACATTTTTCCCAATCACCCAGGTGGGAACACACTCAGGACTCAACTTTCCTTTTGTTCAGTTGTGACGGTCAAGTGTCTTTAAATAAGCTCCCATAGCTTAGGGAGGTCTAGCTTCAAGCTTAACAGGTTCAATGAAAGGTTTTACATTACTGATTATCTGTGAGAAATGAACCCTGATTTCATAGGGTTGAGAATATTACAGATTATATAATGTCTTCACATTTTATTCCACCTTTATTTTATGGGTGTGCTCCATTTTTTTAAATCATTTTCTCTTTTTTTGAAGACATACGTTCATTTTTAAGTCGTCCTTCATTCTGCAGCTATGCTCCAAATTATTTTATCACTTTCTCACTCTCACTTTTTTTTTTTTTTTTTTTGGAGACATGGGTATCTCACTTTACTATATAGTTCTGCATTCTCTATCTCCTTATTCATTCAAATGTATATAGGATTTATACTATCTACTCCATAAGTAATTTATACTGCCTTTGATTTAGTAATTTATATTGGTTTATTACAGTTTCTGTTTCTGTAACAGAATGCTTGGGGTCAGGTAATTTTAAAAGAAAGAAGTTTATTATGCTCACAATTCTGGTGGCTGAAAGTCTACCATTGGACAGCTGGACCTGGTGAGGGACTCAGGCTGAGTTCATTTATGGAAGGGAGTGGAGAAGGAGCAGGTGGGTCCAAAGAGACCACACAGTGAGAGAGAAAGCAAGAGAGAGGAACCAGGAAGACAGACTCTTTTCCACAATATGTTATCTGGAACAAACTCATTCCTGCTAAAGCTAAAATTCGCCACTTATCTCACCCCACAACATGAAGGCATTAACCTATATGTGAGGGATTGATTCCCACGACCCAAACACCTCCCAGTAAGCCCTACCTTTCAACACTGCCCAATTGGAGATCAATTTCAACATGTGATTTCACAGGGACAAGCCAAACCATGGAATTTATGATGGTTTAAATGATGACAGTCTCCATAATTTTATATCTGATTTTCTCATTCCCTATCACTTTATCTTTCTTTTGTTTGTACTGAAGACCCAGGCGAAGTTTCAAAATCAGCAGTATAAAATAAAATTTTGCTGTCATTATTTGAAACCTAAAAGTGTTGGGATTAGACTGTGAATCTGTGATTCAATCTTTCTCTTGATCTTGTTGGCATTGTCACTTCAGCCAGACCTCACACTCTAGTAGAAGTTACAGACACACAAAACAATAATCTCAGTACAACATGATAATTGCCACAAATATCCATCTGTTAGGCACACAGAATCAAAGATCAACTCTGGATGAGTCTTGAAGGATGAATGGAAACTTTGCTGGTGAATAAACAGTAACAGTGGTCCAGGTTCAGAGACATGCCTGTCTAAAGGAGGGCAAAGACATTTTTTAACAACTCAATAAAAGCAATGCCAGAATGACCCATAGGAGGGAGATTTTAAAAGAAATGTATGAGGAGCTGAAGGAATGCACTATAACCCAGATGTGGGGCTACTCCTGGCACTGACTGACGATGGGGCATCAGGATGTTGAACATTCAGGAGCATCGGTGTTTTTCCTCTTTCCTGAAGTGCATTCTTCCTTTCGTTTCTATTATTTGTTTCCAGAAACACATTTGCATAACTAATCCAACTTCCTGTATTTTACCAGAACAAAGGTCTCTCTTACTTTATCTGCCAGCCACAAAACGGGGAATGGTCAAGGTAACAGCCCCATAAATATTCCCCATCTAAAGTCAATGACATACTTTGTATTTTTGAACATTTATAAAATAGTGAGTGATTTGTTTACATTAGGTTAATTTGAAGACATGGCAAGGTTGGGAGTTTTGGAAAAGTACAAGCCACTCAGAAGGCCTACATGAATAGTTTCCAGCCACTTAGAGACATCAGAGGAGTTCCTGCCAGGGGTGCATTGACCTTTTTAATCTCACTGTCCTAGAATTACTAGGTCTGTCTCTCGTCATCTTGAAGGATATGGATCATCCCTTCCTCCCTCTACTCCAGTATCCTGCGCATCTTCCTCAATGGTTTTGCCATGTTGTGTTCATAATGATTGTCCAGTTGATACCAAATCTTGAAAAAAAATTCCAAAAGAATATTTCATTCTTTTTTGGTCTCCATAGTCAATTGCCCTTTTACACGAATCTGGGGCAGATCTAAGGGGCTCATGAGATCTCATGTTTTATAGGACCCCGATCTCTGAATGTAGATCCTCAATGTCCACTTCTTAAATATATATTCCATCCCACATTATTTTCCTATGATGTAACTTCAAGACTGATACTGTTCTAGTCCCTTTACTTTATGTAGTGTTGTGACTATTGCTGATGTTTTAGTCTGCAGCATAATAGCACTTCTCCTCACTCTGTGGGAATCTTCACTGTGGAAAGTTAACTACCATGCTGTGAGCAAGCTCAAGAGGCTACCTGGAGAGACCGTTTAAATATATTCGAGGTAACAGCCCCAACTAAGGAACCCCAGACATCAGTCAGAATTATCCGCTAGACGGGAAATAGAATATCTGTTGCCATTATTTAATTAGTGATCATGAAAATGACCATTTGGTGGGTAGATAGACTCAATTGACTCACTAGAATCTGAGTTTTCATCAGAACTGGGTTTTGCTTGTTTCGTCTTGTTTTCCTGTTGCTAATATGTTCCCACTGTAACATGATGATTATGTCTCAGGTCTAGCTCATCAGTGAGAATTCACAATCTGTGTGAACTGTAAGTATAAACACATTTTAAAGCAGACAGTCTGCTCATCTGTCTATTGTTCCCTGGATGATGCTGTTTGCTTTATTGAACAGCTACAGAAATCAATGTGGGTTAAACCTTTTGGGTTCTTGCTCGGGCATTGCTAGCAAGTTCTCAGAGAAGCGATACGCTGCACCATTTGGCCCATGTCTGTAGATGGCTATTCTATCTAGGTTTTTTTAAGTTCACTCTGATGTTCACACAGTGTAAAAATTACTTAATAATGCATTCCTCTGAATGTATTTTTGTCATTCTAGAACGCATGACTGTTAAAACCCTATTTTTGCCCAAAGATTCAGTGAAAATTTTAGGTGTAAAATGAATTTTCCCCCTAAAGTGATGAGGTGTAGAATTTACTGTTACCAATAGGAGGGAGCTCTCACACTTGCAAATACAGTGTACAAAATCCTGTCCATCCATGATGCGCAAATTGTGTTCCGGCATGAGATCATTCAGCTGGAATCACACACCCACGTATTTCCAGAATTCCATCCCATACATTCACAAAGCAGTTGAAAATTACAATATACATTTTAGGTAATGGGCCATCAGAGATTATTTTAATTGTAAGAAAGTGCACAAAAATATTTTGCATTTTATATATTTTTTATTTAACTGTAATAAAGTGAGAAGAAAAAAAAAAGCCTGAACAGTATGATTCCTTTGCTTCAACAGTAGAGGGCTCCCTTGTACAAGCAGTTCCCACACAGTCAGGTTTCTTCGTCCTGATCATCTGTGGCCGGTGTACAAGAAAGGACTGACAGGGAAATTTCAGGAGCCAGCTGGGTAACGCCATATGAGGGAATTCTTGGTGACATTAAAAAAACTCACACTTCCACTTTCAAAATTCGGAAACATACCAACCCAGCCCAGAGTTTGTCTACATAGTGAGGAAGCATTGGAGAGCTGGTCAAGAGACAGAAATGATGATCCACTTTCACACATAAAAGAAGAAATATGTCCTCAGATGTAATCATGGTGCCATTCTTCCTTATCTGGGACTCCTTACAGACGCCCAGAGCCCAATCCCAAGAGTCGTCCACATCCAGCTCCCAGGAGTGTTTCCCAGAGGAGAAGCCCCGGACTCCCCATGCAGCAAAATAGTCAGGTCTGTCAGAATCCAAAGATCTACCTTCCTGTTCAGGTCTAAACATCCAACTTCTCACATCCTCAAACAGGCTGATATTGTGATTGCTTACTTCATAATTGAAGGAAATTTCCACTGTAGAAAAAAGAGAATGTTCCAGTGAAAAGCAGTTTATACATTCTTAGGTTCAGATAAGAAAGAGACTCTCACTAGAAAACACAGGTCAAGATTAAAAGGCAACTTTTGTCTGGAAAAATATTGGCATCAGAGGGTGTTAGGATATCTGCACAAGTACATGGTTAAACTACAATGATCACGGCTTCTATAAACTCAAATATGGAAGGGGAGGATTGTCATGCCTACGTCTAGTCAGCTACTTTTTATAACAACTGAAAAACTGGAAGCTCTTGCACTGCAGCCAAGTCTGTAGCAATAAAATATATGTCCATTGCCTCTTCCTTGTCAGGGCAGAGCAGGAGGCTGGGGACAGGAGATGAGGTGGGGAGCCATTCTTACACCTTAATAAGTTATCACTACTTTGCCAGAAATATGATCTGCCACTTAAGCAAGCAAATTCATACTTAAAGAGAAAATCTGAATCCATCTTCTGAAAAGCACAGATTCCTTGCAAGAATTATCTGACTTTCATGCTGGATTTCGGCACAGACTTCTTTTATCTGCCTGATCGATCATGACCTGTCCTGGAGTTCTGTCTAAGGGCTCATCAACCACCAAATCACTTTCCTATTGTTTGCAGATCCTCAGATTTGCATTGTTCTTTAAGTTACTCATGTATGTTTCGGTTGATTAAAATGCACAAGATTAAAATTACAAATGCTATGAAACTTCACCTGAAATGTACTTAAAAATAAACACTGTCACCAAATCACAATCATTAACAGCACTTAATTTGAAGTTGAAATGTCCTGAATTAACTCAGTTCTGTATACCTCACATAATACTTGTATAGATGAAATTGTGTCAGAGAATGTTTCTAAGTCCTAAGGAGCCATTCTGCCTGTTTTATGTTTTTCTAAGTAATTTGTTATATGGCTGATTCTTATTACATTTTACCAGCTTTTAGTTTAGTCTGTTTGATGATAGTGAAACTATAAAGACCTATTCACAGACTATTTTCTTCCAGATGGAATATCATTACACTAGGAAAACTGCCCATAGAAACCATACTTGAAGACATTACATGTTGGTCCCAGCAAGAGGGCGACACTCACCTCGGAAGCGGTTGAGCCTGTGTACCAGTGCAGTGATGGGCCCTGCAGTGAACACTGGATTCACAGGCTGGGGCATGCGCAGCAGCACAGACTCACTCCTGCAAGGAAGCAGGTGCAGTTGGTTAACCTTTCTGGTGTCTGTGTTTAAGAAATAGATTCCAACAGGAAATGCTTCATTCAAACCCACTTCTGATACTGTAATGTAACTCCACAATCCTAGGATGGGTTTGTGGCTCTCATAGGGAATCTTTCTAAGGATTCACTTCATTTCTAACCTACTGCCACTGAAACATAATTGCCTTTCTCCCTATCTGCCACCAGATAGTTTATTTGTCTCTAATTACAATTCTGAATCTTAAAATTAGGCAACTATATCCTAGTAACTTCTGCATTGAACTCTTCAAAACATTACCCCCTGAGTCACTTGGGAGAGTAAGAAAAGATTAAAATCTGATACAGGGCATAAGAAAACATATTCAACATAACACACAAACACCTGAGTTCACACACATACACACACAATTACACTGACACATTATGTTGTTAACAAATTATGTTTTCACTTTGTTGAAAATAGCTTGATGTTTTTCATAGCATGCCTTGTGCTTCAGCTTGCAATGATGGCTAAAAACATACCTTGCCATGATGTCTCCAAAATCCTGTAAAGAGAGATAAAAAAAAAAATGCTTCTTTAGAAAGTTGCTATGCTGGCTGGGTGTAGTGGCTCATATCTGTATTTCCAGCACTCGGGGAGACCAAGGTGAATGAATCACCTGAGGTCAGGAGATCCTGACTATCCTGGCCAACATGGCAAAACCCCATCTCTGCTAAAAATACAAAACAATTAGCTGGGTGTCATGGTGCATGCCTGTAGTCCCAGCTACTGGGGAGGGTGTGGCAGGAGAATCACTTGAACACAGGAGGTAGAGGTTGCAGTGGGTTGAGATTGGGCCACTGCACTTCAGACTGGGTGACAGAACAACACTCTGTCTCAAAACAAGGAAACAAATGAAGAAACAAGTTGTTATTCTGCCTGTCTAGTCTTTAGGTTTTGAAAACTTTAGAAGTACTACATACTATCACTGCAGCTCTTTTAGAAGGTATTCTCATTTCTAACATTTATACATTAACAAAATGTATTTCTGATAAATTCAGGACCCAGGATATGAGTGAGAGAGAAAGGTTGAGTGGTGACTGTGCATTGCTGCAGCTGTCTACAATGTGGTCTTTTTCAGGGCTAGTCCCTGAGGGGTAATGTAGCTCAAGTCAAGGGCATTTCAAACCTAGGACTGCCCCAAAAAAAGGAAGAAGAAAATGCTAATTTCTCCATAATTTCTATGTATCATCCAATGGAGACAAAAATATTATTTTCACATGAAATTTTTTTCTTCCAGAGTTTTAATGAAATGAACTGGAGAAGAAAGCTTGAGGTAGAAAATGTTCTGTGGAAATCTATTTGCACAGCTCCATAAAGCTTTGTTTTACAATTAGGTTAGGAGTTGTGAGTTTATCTCTATAACTAGGTGAGAATGTCTCTCACCATCAATACAGGAGATAAAGAAGTATGTCTTTGGTACCCAATGAAAGGCAAATGTCAGCTAATACAAAGTGTCTCAAGGGACATCCTCAGTTCTTACCTGGAGCAGCTCCGCATCTGGTTTATGACACATTTCCATTAGTTCCCGGTACATTTCTTTCAAGTGTTTCTTCTTTTGATACATGTTGATGCAACTTCTCTGGAGTTGTAATTAGCACTGTCTCTTACCTGGTGGTCTTCAGCTGCCCCTTCAATTGGACGGTGCTTGTGAGCCCCATGCTCCTGAGAGTTAGAACACAGTTAGCAGACTCTTGTCTGTGCCACAGAACATCTTCTTTGTTTCCCTATGGGTCCCACATACTTGTTTCTCAGAGCTCAGAAATTGCCAGAGACTGGCTTTCCTGGCAATCCTCACTAAATTCTTCAGAAAAATGTTAGTTTTGAAATCCTTTTGGTGTGATGGTTCCGTGCATGCAGGGCGGTTGGCAGGACTTTGGGCTCCTTCCCAGGAAAGGCAGAGACAGGGTCTACAGAAGCTGTACCCACAGCCTATGGTGACAGGGTCTACCAGGTTGTTCAGGCAGATGACACAGCTGAGTTCCTTCTGGAAGCCCTGTGGGTAGTCTGAGTCTATTTTTCTAAGAGAAAAAAATCTTCTACCCTGGAGAGACAAAGATCCAAGCAAAGTTTGCATCAGGTTGTGATTGAATAACACCTTTTTTTTTTTTTTCTAGAGAAGAATAGGCTTTCATTTGCAATGACAGAAATAGGAAAAATAGAAAACGAAGGCACTAAGAACCATCAACCTCTGTAGAAAAATGTGATTGTTCTCCAATCAACACACAGCCAGCTTTCCAAACGCTACTTTTTGCATAGAAGAATGTCAGATTTTTTGAGGTGTTAGTGTCCACCAAGTTGCTTGGGCTTCTAGGATTTCATCAAGCTATTAGCTGATGGGGTGAGTCTTGAATGGTCTGAAACTCAGTCACACTCTGAATCACCAGTGACTGGTTTAGAGAAGGGAAGCTAACTAAGCTCTTTTACTCTCATTGTTTGATTTAACTGTAACAAGGATCCATCGGAGTTTTCCAGAGGGCCCCTGTTTGAAAATGTTAGAGCAGAGCTCATCCTTTGACCAAAATCAGACCAAGCTAGCCTTTACTCTACAAGGCAAAAGAAACAAACCAAGGTAAACGCACTTCTCCAAGACAGAACAAACAGTCATTTTTTAGGCTGCTGTGTTCATTCAATCAACAAAAACTTGCTGGCATGTTTACTATTCCTGGACTGTCTGTTAATTTGGGGATATATTGGTAAAATGTAGAAGTGTACACAGAGGATAGAAATATTTTCTAAGCCTTTTGCAAGCATTGCCATTACTCTTTCACACAGTCAGAAAAATACTAAGTATCATGCAATAATAATAGGCACTAGACAGTAAGGCGGTATTTTAAATGGAAGAAAAAAAAAAGTAGGCTAGGCAAGGTAGCTCAAACCTCTAATCCCAGCATTTTGGGAGGTCAAGTCAGGCAGATTTTTTGAGCTCAGGAATTCTAGACTGGTCGTCATGATGGCAAAGTGTCTAGATCAGTCTGTCTCTAAAAATACATACATACATACATTCACACACACACACACACTATAGATAGATAGATAGATAGATAGATAGATAGATAGATAGATAGATAGATAGACTATATATGTAAAGCCCAACATGGTGGCCCATGCCTATAGTTCCAGCTACTTTGGGGGATGAGGCTGAAGAATTGCTTGAGGTAGGAAGTAGAGGCAGTAGTGAGGCTTATTTCCACGACTGCACTCTAGGCTGTGTGTCCCTGTCTAAAACAAACAAAAAAGAAAGAAAGGAAAAATCTAAAATCCTGGTTTCTACACAGTATAAATACAGAAACCCTCTATTTCTGATATTTCTGCATGGCTGCCAGTGAGACTTTTCTGCATGAATACCCATTTCTGACTTTCTTCGACAGAGTAACTGAGGTTTCTGAAGAGACTTTTACTGCATTTTAGAAAAAAGTGTTTACCCAAATCATTCAATGCAATCTACCTGTGTATAGCCATACATTGCAACACAGGTACATTTTCACTGGTAGAGTAGAATGTAACACATTTATACACATAGATTACACTACCCCTAGCCCATTTACAGAGTCTACAGAGATTAAAGAATTACTAGATATTTGGAAACTACTGCAAAATGCTTATCTACAAAACAACTAAGAAATAGGTTAAGTAAAAAATTAATCATAACATTAATTTGAGGATCATGCAGCAAGACAGATGACAAAAATGTTTAATTTGTAAATCGGTTAAATGGAGCTTGTAAACCTATGGATTATGTTTAAAATAATTTTAAAAAATAAATGGAGCTGTTTATAAAACTCAGAAAATGACATCTTTTCATCTAAAAAAAGTCTAAGTTTGCAGATAAAGTCCCCAAATTTTGTTTGTTTTGGTTTGTAACCTAATAGCAGCTCCTACTCTGCAAAGTGTATACTTACCTCAGAAATAGATCTACGTCTCACCAAAGCTTGCTGTCCAATAAGATGAAGTCAGCTCAGGCATCAGGGTCTCACAGTGCAGTGGCAGTAGCTTTTAGAAGTCTCCAAGGCCAGTTGCAAAGCCGCTCTGTGGGTGCTGGAGAAGAATGAGCTTGGCTCCCTAAGTGTCTTTTTATATATCTCTGAAGACCACACCTATTTCCTCTAATTGACTGGATTTCAGGGGGCGTAGTGGGTGTTAACATAGTTGATTAAGTTTCTTCCAAACAAAAGTGTTTTTGTTTTTGTTTTTGAGACGGAGTGCAATGGCACGATCTCGGCTCACGGCTACTTCCGCCTCTGAAGTTGAAGCAATTCTCCTGCCTCAGCCTCCCAAGTATCTGGGATTACAGGTGCCCGCTGCCAGGCATGGCTAACTTTTTTTTTTTTTTTTTTTTTTAATTTTTAGTAGAGAGAGGGTTTCACCGTGTTGGCTAGATTTATCTGGAATTCCTGACCTCAACTGATTCGCCTGCCTTGGCCTACAAAAGTGCTGGGATTACAGCCTGAGCCCCAGCCCCCAGCAGTTCACTTTTATCGTTAGGTAAGAATTTAATCTAAGGACACTCCTCTCCTCCCCACTCCAGAAGGGTTATTTCTCCTGCTCATAGTGCTCCAGATGAAGCCTTCCAAAGGCTGAGAAGCAGCCGTGGGACATGGGATTCCCTCCTATATTACCTGGCTCTGCTCATCCCAGCTCAAGGGGTATAGGGAGAAACTCTAGAAAGCTCTAGCCAGGTGCGGTGGTAGGCACTTGTAGTCCCAGCTACAGTGGACGCCGAGGCAGGAGAATCGCCTGTGCCTGAGGTGGAGGTTGCAGTGAGCAGAGATCATGCCACTGCAATCCAGCCTAGGTGATACAGTGAGATTGTGTCTCCAAAAAAACATAAATCAATAAAGAAATATAAAAAATGAAAATTGATGATTATAAATACAAGAAGACATTTATGACAAAATATAAAATAAGCAGAAAGCATATAAAATTGTAAATAGAATTTCATTACTTGAACAAATATAGAAAAAATTAAAGGTATTTAATCAATTAGTATAATAGTTGTGTTACCTTTAGGGAAATATTGGGAAAATGGTTTCCTTATTGTTTATAATTCTTTCCAATTTCTTTTGTGGGTAAGAAGTCAATAACGAGAATAACAATTTTAGTAAATTTCAAACATGATGTATTCCATGAAGCTGATTTTCTAACTTTAAAAGAAAAATGATGTTTTATCTCCTTGACAAAACGCCTCATCATTAGAAACATGGTTTATTTAGGACACACAGCTTTTTCTTCCTTGAGCATTTCTATATTTGTTTCATTTTCTCCAAATGATAGTAAAGATCCAGTCTGTGTCTCTATTTGATGTTTACAATTCCTGAAACAACTGAGCAGTGCATTGCACATAATAATTTCTCACTAAGTAAATTAAGCTGAATGTTGAATTTCCAACCAAAACTTTGAAAACAAAGGAAGAACTATATCTTAATCTTTCTTTTCATGTATCATTTCTTTCCCCTGTAACAAAGGATACAGGGTGTTAACACAAGATACAGAGAAAGAGAATGTGTGTGTGTGTGTACATGCTTTACATATGTGTAACCACATCAATTTTTGTATTTGTAGCCAAATCAAGTGATCCTCCTGCCTTTGCCTGGAAAAGTGATTTTGATTCAGAAGCCTATAGCATTTTATTAAAATTATGTTTTAATTGTGATTTTGATTCAGAGCCTGTTGCATTTTATTAAAATTTTGTTTCATTTGATTGTCTCATCTGTTTATGGGAGCTGCTAACAGGGATTCTGTGTTTCATTTACCACATACTACTACAAAATCTGAGTTCATGATACTAAATTCATAAATATTGAACCTAGCCAAAATTCAAATTATGGGGGTTTTAGTTATTTCTATTTTTCCTTTGTCAACAGGGTACAACTGAAAGAACAATATGGACCTCCTATTTCATTCTAAAACTAGTACAAATTTAGGCAAGTTATTTAACTCCTGATCTTTTGTTATCTCAACTATGAAATGGGGCTTCTACTCTGCCCAATTTGCAGAATTGCTCTGAAGATTAAAAATCACATATTGTGTAAATATTCAAAACAGTAATTGGCTCACAGAAAGTGATCAGCCAGTTGTAAATGCTAACTGTTAGTAAAACTAAATTATAAAATGAAAGAGATAAATTAATAAATAAAATAATTAATGCTTTTTTAATGTAATGATTGTTTCTCATTAGTTAATTAAGTTGTGACGGAATTGGTACATTGAATTCAGTGACTCAGTGTTCATCTACTCAGGGCATGTTGATACACTTTCAGTTATGTTGAATCACTCTTATTGCAATAGCAACCCCATGACTCCTTTTGGAATGTGAGTTCTGTGAAAGTGTTTAAATCATAGCAGACAGCCAAAAATTGTAGAAAGACTGAAATAAACACTGTGTTGTGTGCTCCTAATAGGTTTAGTTTTAAAAATAAGAATATTATTAGTTATCACTTGGTAAATATTTATAATTTGTCAGGCATCTTACTAAACATTAGTAGGTTATCTTATTTTAATATTGATATTACTTCTGTGAGTAGATTACTAGGATACCTAGGTGAAGAAAGTCTTGTCTATATTTGCATATGTGGGTTATCAGTTATTTATTCTGGTGTAAATAATAATCACTATCATTTTTCCCATTGGCATATGCAGCTGTTTCTGTGCTATTGTAAGCCTCAGCAGAATAGTATTTTATAAGTCTTAAAGATATGGTAGCTAGGTATGCTGTTGTTCTTAATTTGCATATTATAGGTTCTTAAAATATACACTTTATGCTTGAAAAATAGTAACTTGAATTGTCCAGGTCTACTTAGGCACATTATTTTTTAAAAATAAATAGAGTCAGCCCTTTCTATCTGTAGATTTCGCATCAGCAAGTAAAGATGGATAGAAAATACAATATCATTCACTGTGATTTCAGGTACTTCGGAAATTGAGAAAGGAGGATTGCTTGAGCCCAGGAGTTTGAGGCGTAGTGAGGTATGAGCCAGCGTCTGCAATCCAGCCTTGTGAAAAAGCAAGACTCCATCTCTTAAGAAAACAA